AGAACCTGGTTTAAGAAAATAGGAAAGACGGGCGACACCTCGCTAACCCGGATCCATCTTTTACTGTCATGGAGCTTTGGGCTGGTCACCTGCGTACCAGACCCGAACCAAAAGAGTACACAAGCATGGTAGTGCAAGCGAGATTCCCTGTTAAACAGAGTCCGTTTACGGAGCAGCCTCCCGACTACTCCGTACTCTCATTTTGGTATTGGACCGACGGAGAGCACCGATACCGCGGCACGCTCTAACGTACTCTCTCGCTCGCACACCTGCCCCCATAGACCACCGAAATTCTTCGGCACGCGTCAACACCGACGGAGAGCACCGATACCGCGGCTCGCTCTACCGGTCTCGTTCGCACGCCGTGACGTCATCCGATTCCCGGAATCCCGCGGCTACGAGATGGCTCATTACGGTAAGGCATTCCCGCATGGGAAACTGTAAGCCGCCGGCGAAAAGGTAGATTTGATAAACTATTTATGAAACTACATCTATTCTGAATTTATCTGTTACAAATATACAAATGTAAGGCAAGATATAAAAACGAATAAAACAAGAACATGTAAAAAGTAACATTAATACAATGTCCATTAACGATGCATTTAGAATAAATTGTCTTGTAGTTAAGTGAAAAAATATATACTTTTCCGTTTCATATTTCATGACTGTCATATTTATCCCTTATGAATGTAATATATAACACCTCATTTGAGCTAATAATACTCAGAATTCATGTTTTATCGGTAACGTCGGGTATTGACACTAAAATGGTAAGGGGGCTTCTGACAGCCTCGAAGTATCGGACAGAAAATTGCATTGCATGTTAGGTCTATTCTTATATCTCGTCTGTACATTTACTATCTATTTTGCAAACAACAAATTTTTGCTTTATCATTTGCAAATATCTCATTAAATATAAACGGCGCGATGGGAGCAATTTTAGATTCCGAGAGAGCAAATTGGGAGCAATTTTTTAAGATTTAAATTGTTAAGAAACACTAATGTTCGGAGCCAACTATTTTTCGGTTTTAAATTCGAAGTTTCAAGAACGTAGATTAGTAAGGACTAAAAGTTAGAAAGTTCTAGCGGCTGGCAACCAGTAAATACAAGAACATTTTTGAAATCACATTTGTTTGCAACGGTTGACACTGTATCTGGCTATGCGTAACCCCGTTCGTTCACTTTGGACAACTCTTCCAATGTTATGCTGGCCGCTTCCGTCTTGACCAAGCATTCAGTTTGAAGCTTAAAGAACGTAGATTAACCCCCATTGCCAATAACAATAAACGACCAGAACACTGTTAAAATCGCATTTAATCACAGACTACCACTATTTTTTCGACTGGTGGCGCCACCCGTGGCAATTCGCTCAAACTGCTAGCCAAATCATACCGACAGGTGAGTGAAAATTCCTAATGATGGAAAAATGCGAATATCTCAGTAATTAAGAGCTCAAAAGGAACATCATTAGTCACAAATTGTTCCTGAGGACTTAATGCATGGACCTAATACTGCAGAACCCCAGAATTAGAAAATTAGTTATGCCTGTATTACTGCGGCCCCTTGTAGGGCGACAACCCTAATTGCAACTAACTTCGATCACATTTACACCGCTGAACGGGCATCATTTTTCTTCGTCACGCATTAGATTCGAAATTTAAAGAACGTACCTTAGTATTCTCTAACGGCTGGATGTTTTGGGATCTGAGACTAGACAGGAAGATATTGAGATCTGTCGGTTAAACATCTGAACAGGATATAGCCACACGTTCCTTAAAGTTTGCTGTACAAAATATAGATCTTCGA